CGACATCGGACGAGGGAACATATTACCATTACCACCATTTCTGACCATGGTGAATTATGGGGATTGCATCGCGACCCTTGAAGAGACGCTTGACGTATTACGGCCCATCGTGGATACGGTACCTAATCTAAGAACCAGCCTAGTGCAAAGGTTGGACGACCTGGACAACAGAATGCGGCAAGCCGAAGTTGACATAGCAAACATCAGTTGCGACTCTAAGGGAGACCGGCAAACGGCAACCGTAGAGGTAGCCGAAATTTAAGGCAAATTTGAGGACCTCCAACAGGAGCGCGCCGAGGATTTAGCCCTTAGGGAACTAGAGGCAGATAGGGTGACTTCCATGCAACAAACCATAGATAAACTTGACAGGCCAGCGCAGTGTTGTCAATGTTGCCCAACAAGGCCTGCTTAGAGGAGACGAAAATCGAATCAGGGGTGTTGTGAACCTCGCCCCTGTGCCATAAAATCTAAAATTTCTGGAGCCAAAGCCATACAGCGAAGCTCGGGATGCTAAAGAAGTAGAGAACTTTGTCTTTGACATCGAATAGTACTTCGATGTCATGGGGTAGTTAGAAGAAGCCAAAAAGGTAGCAATTGATGCCATGTATCTTCAGGGTGATGCTAAACTCTAGTGGCGGGTGAAATACGAAGCCATCAGGTCCGGTGAAAATACTCTCAAGACATGGGCAGAACTGAAGGCAGCCATATGCCTGCAGTTCTTCCCCGAAAATGTGGAATACAATGCACGGAGAAAGCTGCAGGAACTCCGCCAGACCAGGTCAGTACGGGATTACGTGCGGGAATTCTTCGCGCTTATGCTAAACATACGGGATATGGGGGACAAAGACAAACTCTTCATATTCATAGAATGTTTGAAACCTCATGCTCGTATGGAGCTGCAAAGACAAAGGGTAGATACCCTGCCCAAGGCGATTCAAGCTGCAGAATGCCTTGGGGATTGTCAGATGGAAACTCAGAAGGATAGGCCTCAACCGCCTATCCAAGGGGGATACAATGGGAGCCAACCTAGCAATGGTGGCCCTAGCAGAAATGGAGGAGATCAAAGTGCAACAAAATCTAAGACTTCTTCCTCAAGCAGCAACAGTGCTGCATTCGTCAACAACAATCAGGGGAGAAAACCCCCTTCAGAATGTCGTCATTGTGGTGGGCAACATTGGAATAATGAATACCCACATGCACAGATCAACGTTCATCAGACTGTTGATGATGGGTCAGATGATGACCTAGACGACACAGAGCAAGTAGGTGCCTTCAATGCAATTGTTGACTCCATCCCTAATACCCCAGCGGGAACCAGTGTTGGTAACCCTAAGAAGGACGCATGCCCAATCGCCAAGAAAGGGAAAAAGAAGGGGGATGAGAGGCCTCCTACCACATAAGAGAGTACCTTAATGTTCGTCGAAATAAAAGTAAACGGCAGACCAATTCGGGCAATGATAGACACGGGTGCTACCCCCAACTACTTGGCCTCGACTCAAGTGGAGAGCCTCAATCTAGTTGTGCAAAAGAGTAGGGGTCGTGTCAAGGCTATCAACTCACCACCCCAGCCAGTGAGTGGAATAGCCAAACAAGTGCCAATGAAGTTTGGCCCATACAAAGAAAGATTCAACCTATGCGTAGCATTCATAAATGACTTCGAACTGATATTGGGATTGGAATTCCTGAGGTAAACCAACACCATACCGATACCTTATGTCGACATGCTCCTGATGATGGGAGAAAACGGGGACAAACCCCGCATTATACCATGTATACCCATAAAGATGGCCGCTGAAAACATCTCAGCCAGGCAGTCGAAGAAGGGAGTCAAAAGACATGAACCTATGGTTTCGGCTACCCTCAGTAACAAGAATCAAAAATCATATAATCGGCCTCAAATGAATGATGACACCCCTCGGTGTGTGCAGACTTGTCAAGCAGTCCACAAGGACAAGTCGGACAGCTCGGCACAAGCGGGACTCTTGGATCCACTACCTGTCCCAAAGAGACCTTGGGAAAGCATTTCCCTGAATTTCATCACAGGATTTCCCAAGGTCGGAAATCTTGCAACTATCTTGTTTGTAGTAGACCAGACTTCCAAGTATGCCACCTTCATAGCAGCCCCACAGAACATATTAGCAGAAAATACAACTTGACTCTTCTTCTCTCATATTGTCAAATATTGGGGCCTGCCAAAGATAATGCTAGTGACCGCGACTTACGCTTCACTAGCAACTTTTGGACCCATCTCTTTAGGTGCCTCGGGACAAAATTGAGTCACAACTCAAGCTTTCATCAACAACAATCAAATGGCTAGACAGAACAGTTCAATGACATGCTGGAGGAATATCTCCGCCACTTTACAACCGGATCACAGAAGAATTGGGTGAAGCTTTTGGATGTTGCTTAACTATGTTTCAATTCACAAAAGAGATCTAGTACAAACAAAACCACTTTTGAAATTGTTACCAGATAGCAACCGCTACTCCCACAAACTGTGAATGCACCAAACATGCCAAAATCGCCTCGAGCTGCCAGCTTTTCAAAGGAATGGGAGCGAAATTTGGAGATAGTGCAGAGCTATCTTCTCAAAGCCCAAGAGAGGGCAAAGAGGTATGCCGACCAAAACCTTCACTTTGTCCAATATCAAGCAGGAGACAAAGTGATGGTAAGAATCCCAAAGAGGTACTTGTTTGCAGAGAGAACCAATGACCCTCGCCTATTGCAATAACACATCGGACCATTGTCCATTAAAAGACGCATTGGAAAAGCCACATACCGGGTGAATACCCCAGCATGGTGAATCATCCACCCAGTCATCCATGTCAACCACCTCAAATCATTTCAGAAAGACATGGAGCATCATTCACAAAGCCACCTCACAAGACCGAGGGGAACAAACCTCCAAGCCTACAAGAGCCTGATCAATTATCACCTTGCAGGTAAGGCTCCAAGTACATTGCCAACTTAGGTGGGGGAGAATGTGATGGGCTGCTTTCCAGCCATGCCCCATGACCCCTTGGACGCTCCCCATGGCATCCTGGCAAGCCTCCCAACACCCAGTTCTACGGTCAGCCCCGTGGTCTCGGCAGCGCCAAGTGACAAGCGCGCATGTGCCTCTGTCGCCCCACCGATAGCCCTCGCCAGCGCCCATCGGCTAGCAAATGCCAACAGTGCCGCGCGCACAGATCCTAATGCCTCGCCAACGCCCAACCGTATGCAGATTCCAACAGCGTCGCGCACATAAACAATGTCGTGTGCGCAAACCTTGATGCCAAGTGCCAGTGCCAGCCGCAGGCAGATGCAAACAGCACCGCGCGTGCCGACAGCATTGCACGCGCAGACCCTGATGCTAAAGATAAAGTTGCCGCCAACGGACTTGTTTCTACCTTGTAGAAGACTAAGTCTTTTTCATTATAAATATAGAGTAGTTTTACTTCATTTACTTTCAGTGTTCTTCTAAAGCTTATATAGGTCAAGTCATCTAACTTTGGTTTATTTTTGTTTAAGCATTATTAGGGGAGATCAAGCATTCAAACATTCAAGCAAGCAAATATTTCTCTGTACTGGCGTCTCTCCCCCTCAACACTGCGTAGCATTTTGTAATAGCTTTCATTCATTAATGCAATCAGCTTTCATTCTCAATTGCTCATGATATTGGTTTTTCTCGTACGACACTGACAATCTCATCTAGCGTACGGAGGGGACCTCAATTGGCGGACATCAACCACACTGATATCGGTTGCTTAGCTTTACGTCGCCCTTCCAAAGAATCTCAGGAAGGCGCCGCGTAACAATAATAATGATGCCAGTAACTTCACATCTGCACTCAAAACCATCGCGTCCGTAATACCACTTCTATAAGCCCATACTCGCATTTGCGAGCTTCACTTCACTCACTAACCTTCGCTTCTGTGATGAACAGTCTGCTTTTGCAGCGCCGCTGATGCGCCCAAATGCTCACAGGAGTGAATGCGCTTCTGCGCAACTTTGTCCGCACATGCAGACTCCCAAGCCCAGGACAAACTCCGCTTTTGTGCCCTCAACTCTGCTTCTATGCCTGCGCAGATGCGCTACATGAGTCGCTTATACAACCTCGCACCTGTGCAATATGCACAACAGGTGCAATACACAATAACCAACTGACCCATATAATCACCAAAATGGTCTGGAATCAATCCGAAACACCCCCTAACCCCCATCCAATGAAACCAACAAGTCCAAATACCTTACTCAAACTTATTCCAAGGCTTCAACCATAAAAAACAATGACAAAATCAAGAATCAAAGATCAAAATCCTTATCAAAACTTTTAAATATTCCAACTTCACCGAACGCATCCGAATATCACTTAGACATTCCGGAACACGACCAAACTTTACACACAAGTCCCAATCAACCAAATTAACCTATCCAAAGTCCCAAAACATTAATCAGGATATGATAATACCAAAGTCAACTTCCGGTCAAACCTATAACTCTCCAATCCTTCAAATTGCCAACTTTGGCAAATAGAGTCAAAACCTTCTAGTAACCTCCAAATTCGAACATACGCCCAAGTCCAAAACTACCATATGAACCTATTGCAATCATAAAATTTCGATTCCGAGGTTGTCTACTCAAAAGTCAAATCTTGATAAACTTTTCCAACTTAAAGCTTCCAAATTGAGAATCACTCTTTTAAATCAATCTCGAACCTCTCGAAAGTCAAAACCAACCACACACGCGAGTCATAATGCATTATATGAAGCTACTCAAGGCCTTAAACCCCTGAACAAAATGCTAGAGCTCAAAAAGATCGATCGGGTCAGTATACCAATACCCTAAGTAATTTTGAAGTTCTTAATAACATATGCTAAACCTTCACACAACATATACTTGTATTTGTTTACTTGGTTCATTCTAATTATAACATGCACCAAGTTATAAGAAAATCAGTAAGTGTTTTCAAGATTAAAACTACAAAATGCATATAAAAATGAATAAGAAATATGTATTACCTCTTTATCTACAAAGATTATGTCTGAACAAATCAACTCTTTATTTCTCTTGAGATTAGTAGAATTTCACATCCTACAAAAAGAACATTGAAAAAAAAAAAGAACACGCCGAATTTTATAAAAAATTTAGTATAGGAAAATAGCATATTAGTTTTAAAAAAATGTCAAAAGTTACTTAAAGACAATGAAGACATCATGTATTTGCAAGGATGCCATGACAGACTTATTACAAGCATTCAAAGAGGATGGTCAATAGTGTCGCACCCCTTTTTCCCACCCCCAAAAGATATATATATATATATATATATATATATATATATATGGATTGTTGTGGGTTAAAGAGTTTTTCCAAATAAAGTGACAAGTTTTTGATAGGGATTATTTTATTTACAGAGTCGCCACTTGGAATTGAGTTTTTGGGTGTTCCAAGTCACCTTTTATTTGAATCCCTATTCAAATAAAGATTTGACTCTTTTATTATTGGTTTGCAAAAACAAAGTTCAGGTAAGGAATTCTGTTGACCGGGGAGAAGGTGTAAGGTATTTTCCGAGTCCCGTAGTTCTAGCACGGTCGCTTTATTGACTACAACTTAGCTTGAATTAATTTTGGACGAACTGTGATTTATTGGCTTTCAAATTTTATCTATCCGCTTTTATTGCTTGATTATTCGTAATTATGGAATTATCTTGAAATAAAATGATACATATGTGTATTCATTTTGTTTGGTATGTCAAAGTCATGCCACGCATACATGTACACAATTAATAACATTTATTATTTATTAGATTATTTTATCAAAATCACGCGAACACGTAACTTGATTTATTTTTGGGACCATAATTATGTCACGCGAACTTATACATAATCACAATGGTAGATTTGTTACGAGCGTGTCTAAAGGCATAGTAGTGATTTTTGTAGTAATTCGGCGTTCTTGGTTATTGAGGAAACATGCCAGCGTTCAACTAAAGCCTAAGGAGCAATACAACTTATTTCAAACCCAAACCTACTCCTATCCCAAGCTTACATTAGATTTTCTAATACCAGTGGCCTATTCGTTCGGCCCAAATCCTTTACCAACTAATCTACTCATCTTCTATGTTGTTTTTCTTTTTTCTTTTTGGTTTAGATCTAATAAATAAACAATATTACTATTACTACACATAACATAAGATTCATAAAACTAAACAATATAAAACTATTGAACAGATTCATGATTTTAAACACACTTGCCACTACATAAAAAAACAAGAATATCACCTAAATTAAAATCATAATGCAAATAAAATTTCAGTAAGTATCATTGAACTAGGAAGCAGAAATGTTAAAAGAGAAAAACAAATAACCTTGTATTAGATGAAGACTCCAATTTGACGTACATTAAGCAAGAATTTGTCCAAAAGCAAAAGAAAGAAAACAGTATATGGACCGAAAAATTTCTCCGAAAATCCTCAATGAACTCAAACAGGAAACCTCGCCAATGACGGAAATCTTGAACGCCCAGAAAATGCCACTGTTTTAGGTGAAAAGAGGCTGTTTTAATGGCTGATTTTTGGTCCCTCTTGTGGTTGTTCGGCAGCAACGATGCAACTATTTTTTGGTGGTTTTAGGTTATTTTAATGGAGTTTTACATGATTTTAGGATTGTTTTTCAGATCTCCTTTTGGCTGGCATCTTGGTAGTATTTATTGGAAGAGATGAGGTGAGGAAGATGAGTGTATGATTAGGAAGAAAAGAGGAAAATATCTCCCCTTTTTTCGTGTGTCCCCCTTTTTCCTTCTCCCTATCCTATGTGAGATGAGTCTCTTTATTTATTATGTGAGTGGAGAGTATGTGAATTGGAAAGAAAAACAAAAAGAGTGTGTGTGCTGATGTGGGCATGTGAGTGACGTGAGTGGAGGGAATCTTGTGGGTAAGACAAAGTTTGTTACTAAATTCATATCCAAAAAATGATTTATTCTTTTTTTTGCTTTGTTTTTTCTTTTAACAATGGATAATGAATAAAAGGTAAAATTAATATTCCTACTAAATCAAAATAACAAGGTAAAAGTACTACATACTTAATGTATTTGTTGAAAGTCTCTAAACTTAAAAATTGCACTAAACTAAAGAAAAACTACATCTTTTTTTTTTTTTTGAAATTTATTCTTTCTTTGTAAATGAAGATAAAACTTATACTAAAAATGTGACTCTTTTTATCATTTTTAATTTTCTTAAGTAAAACCTATAAAAGGTAAATTAAGAGCTAATATATGTAAATTGAACTTAAAAAATATTTACATATTAAAAAGTGGTGAGAAATTGAGATATGGTCAAATATTAAGTGCTCACAGCATGTCCCTCTTTGCTTGGAAACATGAAGTACTTTCAGGCAAAGAAAGATGAGCGATATGACTAATTTTTGGCCATACCATTATTCAAAAGGAAAGAGATATGAGAAAAGAGTGCAACCGAAACCTGGTTTTGGACGGCCTACATATCCCGGGTTATAAGGGAATCAGGTCGCGTGTAGTTCAAGGAAAAGGATGGAATGCTGAGTTGGAGAGTCGAGTAAGGTTCTATCGAGGCTCCGGCATGTTGTCGTGTCATTACATCAAAATCAAAAGAGACTAAACAAGCCTATCAACAATGAGTTACAAGATTCATATCTATAAGTCTTCTATAACTTGATCTTGAGTCTTGACTGGTTCTTCACGCAAACTCTGATTTGAACCTTGATGCTCGCTAGCTGCAGGTGCCAGTTCATTCTTCTACGGCCTCTTCTGATGAAGAGGAAAAATGCAATGCTCATGACTTCAGTCATGTCTTGAGTAGTTCACATATTTTCATCTGCTTCTGCAATCTGGATTCACTTATTTTTGTTTTCTTTCCTTTATTTTGGATTGAAACTTCTTCTATTGGTCATCTCGAACCCGTGACTTGAGGTAAAACCTGCTCAGACACCAAAACAAACAAACGAAAGAAATGTTTCTGCCCCAGTTTTTACTAGAAAATTTTCATGAGTTATTTATAACAAAACTCTATACTACTTCATTATTGAAAGCAATAAAAGGTCGGGATTGGTGTACCCTGGAAAAACATGATTCTTTGGCAATGGTGTACCCTAATTGTCTAAATGGTGCCTCAACTAAGGATTGATATACCTTATGTTGGGAAAATGCGATGGGGAATAATGTACCATGATACTGGTAAGGAGACTAATGAGTTGAGACCCTATATCTAAAAATAAAATCAACTAAGGAGTGGAGACCCTATGTCAGAAAACACAACTAGGGATTGGTGTACCCTGATACTGGTGAGGAAAAGTAACCAAGGGTTGGTACCCTGTATTACGGAAAAAGAATGTAATCAGGGATTGGTACCTTATATTACTGAAATAAAAAGTAACCAGGGGTTGGCGCCCTATATTATTGAAGAAAAAATGTAACCAGGGGTTGGTGCCCTGTACTACTGAAAGGAAAAATGTAACCAGGGGTTGGTGCCCTGTACTACTGAAAGGAAAAATGTAACCAGGGGTTGGTACCCTGTATTACTGAAAGAAAATTTAACCAGGAGTTAGTACCCTATATTACTGAAAAGGAAGTGTAACCAGGGGTTGGTACCCTGTATTATTGATGAAGTGCTGAGTCTCTGTAGGTGAAAAAGGTTATACCTGAATTAAGCAACGTAAAACAGCCTGAGCGAAGAGTACTTCTACCAGAAAAGATGAGCTGGATCCCCCTAGGCGAAATGGTTCTACCTGAGTTAAGCTACGTAAAACACCCTGAGCGAAGAGTACTTCTACCCGGAACTATGAGCTGGATCCCCCTAGGTGAAAAGGTTCTACCTGAGTTAAGCTATGTAAAACAGCCTGAGCGAAGAGTACTTCTACCCAGAAATATGAGCTAGATCCCCCTAGGCGAAAAGGTTCTACCTTGGTTAAGCAACGTAAAACAAGCATGAGCGAAGAGTACTTTTACTCGAAAATATGAGCTGGATCCCCTTAGACGAAAAGGTTCTACCTAGGTTAAGCTACATAAAACAGCCTGAGCGAAGAGTACTTCTACCCGAAAATAATGATCTGGATCCCCCTAGGCGAAAAGGTTCTACCTGAGTTAAGCTATGTAAAACAAGCATGAGTGAAGAGTACTTCTACCCGAAAATATGAGTTGGATCCCCCCTAGGCGAAAAGGTTCTACTTGGGTTAAGCTATGTAAAACAACCTGAGCGAAGAGTAATTCTACCCGGAAAAAATGAGCTGGATCCCCTTAGGTGAAAAGGTTCTACCTGAGTTAAGCTATGTAAAACAGCCTGAGCGAAGAGTACTTCTACTCGGAACTATGAGCTGGATCCCCCTAGGCGAAAAGGTTCTACCTGGGTTAACTATGTAAAACATCCTGAACGAAGAGTACTTCTACCCGGAACTATGAGCTAGATCCCTGTCACGACCCAAAACTAACCCCTGTCGAGATGGCGCCTATCGTGGAACTAGGCAAGCCGACTCATTTCCAAAACAAAATGATATTTTCATTTCAAAGATAATTTCAAGGTTATTTAACATAAAACCTCCATTTAAAGAGTTCAAATCAAAGAAAAATAGAAGTACGGAAAAGAAAAGCCCGACATCGGGGTGTCACTAGTCATGAGCATATACTACAATCTGTCTAACAATATCAAGGATAACTCAGCCCGAAAAATAGCTAAATATAACTAGAGGAAGATAAGAGGGAGAAGAGCAGGGGCTGCGATCGCCAAACAGCTACCTTGCTATCTCCAAGAAAATCTGCAACCAGAACACTCAATAACCGCTACCGTATCCAACTACACCTGGATCTGCACACAAGGTGCAGGGAGTAACGTGAGTACACCGACTCAGTAAGTAACAACAATAAATAAAGTCTGAGCAGTAGTGACGAGCAATAAAGCATATAACGTTCATATCAGGAAATCTCAGTAAAATACCACATGCTCTTAAAAATCAGGATTTGAATCAAACATCTCGTTTAAACCCAGTTCCATTAAAAATCATTTAAAGACATTTTTCCAACAGTTTTTCAAACAAAGGCTCAATGCAAAGTGAGCAAAAAATGATGAAATCATAAACAGCCCCTCGGAAAAAACATCACTCATATACAGCCCCTCGGGCAAACCTCACAGTCACTCGTGCCACTCGGGCATACCTCACAATCACTCTTGCCACTCGGGCATACCTCACAATCACTCATGCCTCCCAGTCACTCAGCACTCGGCACTCGCACTCAGTAGGTACCTGCGCTCACTGGGGGTGTGTACAGACTCCGGAGGGGCTCCTTTAGCCCAAGCGCTATAATCTGCATGGACAACTCACGTGCCATAATAATAAAGTATGTTGTAGGAGGGCAGCCCTGATCCACACTCATCCTCACAAATCAAGCCCTTGGCCTCACTCAGTCATAAAGTATGCTGCAAGCGGGCAGCCCCGATCCACACTCATCCTCCCAAATCAAGCCACTCGAGCATTTCGGTAAAACAGGGCATTCGGCCCAAAACATTTATATGCATCAAAATAGAATCATAAAACTGAGTTATGCGGTAAACAAGTATAAACATGACTGAGTATAGATTTTCAATCGAAAACAGTGAGAGGATGGCAAGAAACAGCCCCTAAGGGTCCAAACAACATTGGCGCAAGGCCCAAACATGGCATTCATCCCAATTTACAGAAAATCTTTCTAAATCATAAAAGTATCAATGGTTTCAACAAAGTATGCAACTTTATAGTTGCTACGGGACGGACCAAGTCACAAATCCCCAACAGTGCACGC